GTTCCGTTACTGCCCTCTTCCCACGCTGACGCCTGTCCACCGCACGGCCTCCTTAGACCCCCACACTCCCCTCCTCTTTGGTACCCTCCACATTTCGCCCCTCCTGACCCTCCACACGCCCCTGCCGACGCCTCCACACGCCCCTCCTGTAGCCCTCCACCACTCCCGCTCTCTGACCGCTCCACACAGCTACTCCCTCTACTCCCCACTCTATCTGCCCCGTCCTGACCCTACACACGGCGCCGCTCCCTGACCCAACCTCCACATCCTCTCCTGTGTGCCACCACGCCCTACACTGATCCCTCCACACTCCGCCTCGCGGCTTTGACCCTCACACGGCGCCCTGCTGACCCTCCAACTGTTTACGCCCCTCCTGACCTCCACACTCACCCTCCTGACCTCCACACGCCCCTCCTGACCGCTCCAACACTCCCCTCTTGACCCTCCAACACGGCCCCCCTCTCTGACCCTCCACACTCCCTCGCTGAACTCTTCCGCTCTGCCACCCGACGCCCTCTGAACTCCTCGCACCCAGCTCCCGCTGTTCCTGACCCTCCACACGCCCTGCTCTGAGCCCTTCCACTACGCCGGTCTTCCTGACCCTACCACACGCCCCCTCCTGACCCTCCAGCACTCCCTCACTGACCCTCCACATCGCCCCTCCTGATCCCAACTGCTCCCCTCGAACTGACGCGCTCCACCACGCACTCCTGACCTCCACACTCGCGCCTTCCTGACCCTCCCACCAGCCCCTGCCTGACCCTCCCAACCACGGCCCTCCTGACCGCTCACCACACGGCCCCTCCTCGACGCCTCCAAGTCTTCTTCCCGACCTCACACCACACGCCCCTCCTGACCCTCCACATCTCCCCTCCTGAACGCGTCCACACCCCTCCTGACCCTCCACACTCCCCTCCATGACCTCCCACCACGCCCCTCCTGACCCTCCACACGTTTCCCCTCCTTGACCCACCACACGCCCCTCCTGACCCTCCACCCCGCTCCTGACCCTCCCACACTCCCCTCCTGACCCTCCACACCCTTGACCCTCCCCACGCCCTCCTGACCCTCCCATCACGCCCTCCTGACCCTCCACGCACGCCCTCTCTGACCCTCCCATATTATCCGCCCCTCCTGACCCTGCCACATCCCTCCTGACCCTCACACAGTCGGACCTCCACACCGCCCCTCCTGACCTCACAACTTCAAAGGCCCCTCCTGACCTCCACAACGCCCTCCTGACCCTCCCCTCCTGACCCTCCACACGCCCCTCCTGACTCCACTCCACGCCCCTCTGACCCTCCACACTCCCTCCTGACCCTCCACACGCCCCTCCTGACCCTCACACTCCCCTCCTGACCCTCCACACTGCCCCTCTGACCCTCCACACTCCCCACTCCTGACCTCCACATCCCCTCCTGACCGCTCCCACAGCCCCTCCTGACCCTCCCACACCTCCCCTCCTGACCCTCCACATATGACGCCTGCCTCCCCTACCTCCTGACCCTCCACACCTCCTCTCCTGACCCTCCACACGGCCCTCCTGACCCTCGCACATCTCCCCCTCCTGACCCTCCACCCCCCTCCACGCTTTGGCCCCTCCTGACCCTCCAACCCCTTCCTGACCTCCACACGCCCCTCCTGACCCCTCCCACACGTCCCCTCCTGACCTCCAACTTCCCCCTCTCCTTGACCCTCCACAACGCCCCTCCTGCCCCTCCTGACTCCTCTCACGACTCCCTCCTGACCCTCCACACGCCCTCTGAGCCCCTCGCACACGCCCTGACCTACTCCACACTCCCCTCCTGTCCTCCACCATTCCCACTCCTGACCCTCCACACGCCCCTCCTGTCCCTCCACACTCTCCCTCCTGTCCCTCCACCACGCCCTTCCTGACCTCTGCCACAGGTACGCCCCCTGACCCTCCACACCCTGACACGCCTCCTCTCACACTCTCTGCCCACGCGCGCCGGCTTCCTCCAACTTCTCCATGACTCCTGACGCCCTCCTGCTGACCTAACCACCACGCGCCCTCTGACCCTCCACCACTCCCCTCCTGACCCTCCACCAAGGCCCCTCCTGACCTCCACCCCCCCCCTCGCCTGCAACCTCCCCTCTGCTGTCCACCGCCCTCCTCTTGACCCTCCCGTCCTCTTTCCCCCTTCCCCGCCCACACCCCCTCCTGCCCTCTGTCCACACGCCCTCTGAGCCTCCCCCCTTCCGCCCTCCCCTCCTAACACCCTCCTAACCCTCCACACTCCCCTCCTGACCCTCCACCCCGCCCTCCTGACCTTCGCTCCAAGGACGGTGACCCTGCCCACTTCCTTGTAGCTCCCGAAGGCGTCTGGGACTCGGCCGAAGGGAGCTGCCACCGCCACCTCGTCCCGCCCGTCGCCGTCCACGTCACAGGCGGCGAGGGAGGAACCGGCCATCTCCCCGAGGCGGGACGTGGCTCGCTCCTGGAGCTTCGTCTCGAGGGCCAAAGCTTCGTCGAGGCGGACGACCTAGGGGAAGGGTGAGGGAGCGGGATAAATAGAGGAATAATGGAAGAAGGACATGATAAAAGACGCGATAAGAGAGATGTGGCTCGCTTTTGAAGCTCTCGACGATCTAGGGGAAGGAGGTTGAGGGAGCGTGATAAACAGGGGAATAAAGGACAGGAAGGAAAGAATGATAGGAGAGGAAGTAGAGACGTGGCTCGCTCCTGGAGCTTCGTCTCGAGGGCCAAAGCTTCGTCGAGGCGGACGACGGGGAGGGGGGGGAGTGTGATAAATAGAGGAATAATGGAAAAGAAGGACATGATAAAGACTGGAGAGTGTGGAGAGAGTGATAAGAGAGACGTAGTTCGCTCTTGAAGCTTCGTCTCTCGGACGATCTAGTGGGGGAGGAGGTTGAGGGAGCGTGATAAACAGGGGAATAGAGAACAAGAAGGAAAGAATGATAGGAGGAAGGAAGTAAGAGACGTGGCTCGATCTCGAAGCTTCGTCTCGAGGGCCAAAGCTTCGTCGAGGCGGACGATCTAGGGGGAGGGGGAGGGAGTGTGATAAATAGGGGAATAATGAAAGAAGGACATGATAAAAGGCTGGAGAGTGTGGAGAGAGTGATAAGCGAGACGTGAGGCGTAGGTGAGGGAATGTGATAAACAGAGGAATAAAGAAAGTTGAGGTTGAGGTTGAGGAAGCGTGATAAACAGAGGAATAAAGGAGAAGAAGGAAAGAATGACAAGAGGAGAGGAAGGAGAGTGTGGTAAACAGAGGAATAAAGAACAAGGAGGAAAGAATGACAAGAGGAGAGGAAGGAGAGTGTGATAAACAGAGGAATAAAGAACAAGAAGGAAAGAATGACGAGAGGAGAGGAAGTAGAGTGTGATAAACAGAGGAAAAAAGAACAGGAAGGAAGGAGTGACATGGAGAGGAGAGAGTGTGATAAACAGAGGAATAAAGAACAAGAAGGAAAGAATGACGAGAGGAGAGGAGCGAGAGTGTCATAAACAGAGGAATAAAGAAGAAGAAGGAAAGAATGACGAGAGGAGAGGAAGGAGAGTGTGATAAACAGAGGAATAAAGAACAAGAAGGAAAGAATGACGAGAGGAGAGGAGCGAGAGTGTAATAAACAAGACGTGGATCGTTCTTGAAGATTCGTGGCTTGGTGGAAGAGGAAGACGAAGGGGAGAGAATGTGATAAAGGGAGGAAGAAAGAAGGGAGGATGGGCATAGGGAAAGGAAGGAGAGTATGATAAGGAAGGAAAAGTAGGAGAAGATGGAATGAGAGGACAGAATTGTAGCTTGTGTGCGATAAATAGAGATAAAGAAAAAAGAGAAATTAATTTGGAGTGGGATGAAGATAATTTTTTTCAAATGAAGAAAAAAGAACGAAAGAAACAGAATAGAGACAATTTGGAATCAGACTGATAGAGACACAAAAAAGAAGAAGGAAGAAATAAAGAAACAGAACGCTTTAACATAACACAGCTTCTTCCTTCTTCTTCTTCTTCTTCTCCTCCTCCTCCTCCTCCTCTTCCTCCTTCTCCTCCTCCCCTCCTCCTCCTCTTCCTCCTCCTCCTCTCCTCCTTCTCCTCCTCCCTCTCTCCTACCTTCTCCTCTCCTCCTCCCTTCCTCCTCCTCTCCCTCCTCCCTCCTCCTCCTCCTCCTCCTCCCCCTCCTCCTTACCTTCCCCAAGTTACCACAAGCAGCCACCAGTCCCCTCCCCCCCTTCGGCAGCCACGTGCCCTCCGCGAGTCCCCAACCGCCTTCGGTAGTTTCTCTCACACGCCCTCGTCAGGTTCTCCTTCGCCACTTCGCGTGCAGGTCGTACTCGAGGATGTGACCTGAAGGAGGGGGGGGGGGTTCAGACGCTTTTATTATACTTAGATGCTTAGAATATACTTAGATATTGTATGTACGTGTATATATGTATACTTATAAATACATATGTCTATATAATAAATAAATAATATATATATTATATATATATATATATATATATATATATATATATATATGTGTGTGTGTGTGTGTGTGTGTGTGTGTGTGTGTGTGTGTGTGTGTGTGTGTGTGTGTGTGTGGTGTGTGTGTGTGTGTGTGTGTGTGTGTGTGTGTGTGTGTGTGTGTGTGAGTGTGTAAATCTGTATGTATGTACCTGAAATATATGTAGATTCGCACATTTACTTCAAATAATAAAGAAGCATAAAAATATAAACATATTTACAGAAGATACGTAGGTCTTGTTACTTAGATGTAGCATATGATTAATATATCTCTTCATTCATTTATTTTCATTCTTTAGTGGATAAGTTTCGTTATAATCTGCTATGGAGTCTCACATCCAAGCAATAACACAGATAAGAAGATATCTATAGCAAAGACATCTTTCATGTTTATATCACAATCTTCAGACTTTTAACACAAAGCTATACAAAAAAAAAAAAACTTTTTTTTTTTTTTTTTTTTTACCCACCTTGATTTTCCTTGATAATACTGGGGCACCCGAGGAAAACTGCTGAGTCATTCTAGAATAAAACAAAACCAGAGTTATATAATCAGACTCGTATTAATATAATTTCTATATATCCTCGAAAACTGAATCCCAAATCACGTATAAAAAATCATATTCAATTATCAATTTTACTAAACAGTCTATCTATATTTTTTTTTATCATTTCACATATTTATTCGTGTCTCTTAATAAACTTGAAAATATTAATGTCAGTTTTTAGAATTACCTTTCCAAACACGGCGCTGAAGCCACAGTACTGAACTGCATCTGAAACTGTAACAAAGTAAGGAAAAGGATTAAGTTTCCAGTACCTTACAAATATTACGATATATTATGTCTTTAATATTCTTTTTTTTTCAAATAAAATGCGATGAAAACCTAACAAAATAGCAAAAATATTTATATTGAAACATGAGATTTCACACAAATCAACATTTTATCTAAAAGAAAGAAAGACACACACACGAAGAAGAGAGAGAGAGAGAGAGAGAGAGAGAGAGAGAGAGAGAGAGAGAGAGAGAGAGAGAGAGAGAGAGAGAGAGAGAGAGAGAGAGAGAGAGAGAGAGAGAGACAGACAGACAGACAGACAGACAGACAGACAGACAGACAGAGACAGATTAATAAACACACACAGACAGAAAGATCGACACAGAAGAAAACAGATAAAAGAAAAAATCAAAATAGCTACTTACGGTCTTCAAAAGCACCCTTGGGACTAACGTGCTTGCCTGTGACGTCACCGTCCAGGACCAGCAAGCACTCTCCAATCGGCACGCGAGATTCGGCTGTTCCTCGCTTGTAAAAAAAAGAAGTCCGAGGTGCGCACATCTGCAGGTCCCGTGAGGATAGTGTGGGTTTCAGTAAGTTTGTATTTTGTGTTTGTATCTTTTTAAAAAATGTATTGTTTTTTTCTTGTTTTTTTTAGTTATTTTTTTTTCTTATTTTTCTCCTTTCTCTCTTTTTTTTTTCTTCTTTTCTTTCTTGCTTGCTTTTAAACTCTCTCTCTCTCCCTCTTCTTTTCTCTTTCAGTCTCTCTTCTCTCTCTCTCCTCTTCTCTCTCTCTCTCTCTCTCTTCTCTCTCTCTCTCTCTCTCTCTCCTCTCCTCTCTCTCTCCTCTCTTCTCTCTCTCTCTCGTCTCTGCTCTCTCTCTCCCTCCCTCTGCCTTCGCGTTCTCCTCTCTCCATTCCCCCTCTCCCTCCCTCCCCTCCCTCCTCACTTTCCCCCTTCTTCCCCTTCTCCTTTTTTCTCCCCCCAAAATGAAAATTCAAAATTGAAATAAAAACAAAAACAAAAGACAAACCAACTCACCAAGAGAGGTTGCTTCTGTCTGTCACTCCAGCAGCGATTCTTGGTCCCAAATCCGGCCGATGTGCCCGGGTTGCAGCCTCGGGTCAGCCTCTGCAAAAAAAAATAATAATATAATAATAAAAAAGAAATAAAATAAATAAAATCACTGGCATGTTATTTGTTCTGTTCTGTGTGTCGTTTGGTTTTCTTTGTTTCTGTCTGTGTCCTGTCTCTCGGTGTCTCTGCAGTCTCTCTGTCGGTCAGCCTCTTGGGGAAAAAATAAAAATCACTGGCATGCTATCTCTTCTGTGTCGTTTTGTTTTTTGTTTCTGTCTGTGTCTCTGTCTCTCGGTCTCCTCTGTCTTCTGTCTCCTTTGTTTCTCTGTCTTTTGTCTCTTTGTCCCTCCCTTTTGTCTCTCTGTCTACTTTTGTCGCTCCTGTCTCTTCTGTTTTTCTCTCTCACGTCTTTCTCCGTCTCTCTCGGTCTACTTCTGTTTCTCTGGCTTCTCTGGTCTCTTTGTCTCTCTGGTCTCTCAAGTCTCTCTGCTCTCGTCTTGTCTCTCTGTCTCTGCAGGGTCTCTCTGTCTCTTGTTCGCTCTCTGTTCTCTGGTCTCTCTGGTCCTCTCTGTCTCTCTGGTAACTTTCTGGTCTCTCGGTCGCTCTGTCCCTCTCTCTGTCATCTCCTGAGTCTCTCGGGTTCTTGGTCTTCGGGTCTCCCTCTGTCGGTCAGCCTCGTGTGTGAAATAAAATAAAATTAAAAATCACTGGCTCATGCTATCTCTTCTGTGGTGTCCGTTTGTTTTTGTTTCTGTCTGTGTCTCATGTCTCTCGGTCTCTCAGTCTCTCTTTTCGGTCAGGCCTTTCGGGGAAAATACAAATTCACTTGCATGGGCTATTTCTCTTCTGTGTCGTTGTTGTGTCTAGTCTGTCTCTCTGTCTCCTCTGTCTCTCTGTCTCTTTGTCTCTGCTGTCTCTCGTGTCTCTCAGTCTCTCCTGTTTTTTTCCTTTTGGGGTTTTCTTTCTGTCTCTCTGTCTCTCTTGTCTCTCTGTCTCTCTGTCTCTTTGTCTCTCGTGTCTCTCTGTTCGGTCAGCCTCTGGGAAAACATGAATAAAAAAAGGCTATCACTGGAGCATGCTAATCTCGTTCTGTGTGTGTCGTCGTTGTTTTTGGTTCTGTCTGTGTCTCTGTCTTCTCGGTCTCTCTGGTGCTCTCGGTCT